CATATTGCAGGGTTGTTTGACAGTTCTCATATGGATTATGAATCAGAAAGGGATACAACGACTAATGGCGACCCATCGCTGGTGGAGATGACAGAAAAAGCACTGCAAATATTGCAGAAAAATGAAAAAGGATACTTTCTCTTGGTGGAAGGTAAGGAATTTGATGATTTGATTAATAAATGTAAATACTCTGAAAATAAAGAAAACATTTGTGGCTTATTGTGACTTACGGGATTTAACTTTATGTTGATGATACATACAGCAGGGGCGGATTTAGAGAGGTAAAAAAAAGAAAAAGAAAAGAAAAAAGATAGAAAAAGAAAAAAATGATAGCCCACAACGCCTCAAATGTTATTTTCGGGCGTCTAGAACACAAAATTTTCGCGGGGGCATACCCCTGGACCCCCTGGGACATTGTTGTCTCGATCGGCCTAAATTTCGGTTCCCCCTTTCGGCCCCCCCCCCTTTTTGGACATCTCTGGATCCGCCCCTGTACCGTGCGAATAAGTTATTCCCATGGAATTCATACATCGTGAATTAACTATTTTAACACGGTATTGTCTCCTTTAAAGAAATTTCAGGACGAAAATAACCTTGTAGAGTACTTTACATACAACCATCTTTCGAAAGAAAAAAAAAATGATAGTCCCAATGTTAATTTCGGGCGTCTAAAACACAAAAATTTCGCACCCCCTAGGTCATTGTTATCTCGATCGGCCAAACTTTCGCCTCCCCCCCCCTACACTTTTTTTGGACATCTCTAGATACTGAACTTGTATTTTGTTATAACAATTTGGATATTTTTGTTCCCGTGATTAGCTGGCCGCATCGATCATGCCCATCATGGTGGACGTGCGTTCGATGCTTTAAGTGAATTGAAACAGATGCACTTGGCCGTTGCTAAGGTGGTAGAGATGACAAGCGAAGAGGATACTTTGATTATAGTAACAGCTGACCATAGTCATACGTTGTCATTCGGTGGTTACCCTGAGAGGGGAAATCCAATTCTAGGTAGGTTCCCATCATGATAAACATGCGTGTCAACCTCCGTATCACCAAAAATCATTAAGAAACCTAGATTGCCTACACCAGCGTGACGATGGTGTGGAAAGATACAATGGACTGATTGTGATGGATGATGATGAAATGATTATGATGATGATGATGATGAATATGAAATAATGATGATGATAATGACGATGATGATGGTGGTGGTGGTGACAATCATCATGAAGAACCAATCAAAAGAATAGCAAGTATAATAATGTTGCGCCTAAATTGGCGTGTAATCGTTTTTAGGACTTGTGGATGATGCCTTGGGAAAGGATAGACTACCATACACAACACTAGCGTATGCGAATGGACCCGGAGGGTTAAAGGTATCCGAGTCCTACAATGCTACTAACCTCAGACCGAATAACACAGGTGTCGACACAGGTAGGCCTACTGGCAAACTATTATCATTATAATGTGTTTTCTTTGCATTTGAATTTCGCATACTGATATTTTGATTTGTTTAGGGCGAACGTTGAACGGAAGAGGATGATTATGACGATGAAGAAATAATGCAAATTATGATGATGATGATGATGATGATAGTAATGGTAGTTCACAATGATCACGATGATATCGTAAACGACCATAACATTGACAATAACAATAAAAATGACGATGGTGGTGGTGGATATTGGTATTTGGTTGATAGTGATGGCATTGGCGGTGGTGGTTGTGACAGCAGCGGCAACGACGATATTGATGGTTATGACTGATGATGATGATTATGAAGCAATAAATCAATCCAGGCAAATATATGTACGATTTTTTTCCACAGAGGATAGGGACTACAAACAAGACGCATTGGTCCCTCTGTCGTCAGAAACGCATGGAGGTGAAGATGTTGCCATCTACGCAACTGGTCCAATGGCGCACTTATTCCACGGCGTCCACGAACAAAACTATATAATGCACGTGATGAAGTACGCCGCTTGCGTTGGAGATAATAAAGAGCACTGTGAAATTGTTGGCAATAGCGCCATCATAGTTTACCCAACATTCCTCTCACTTATTACATCCATTTATATAATTTTAATCAAACGTTTTCTTTAATATTCAATAATATAAACGCGTATTTTTTTAAAAACGTAAAAGTACTGATAATAAAAACATGAATAGTACATGGCATTTTTAATCAAATATTGAAAAACTTATTATTAGTTTAAATTTCCAATATTAATATTATATATATATATATATATATATATATATTTGTGTGTACATATATGTTTGTGTATATATATATTTATATATATATGTATATATATATGTATATTTGTATATATATATTTGTATATATATATATATATATTTGTATATACAGGCCTAGTAGATTGTATTGTCAAAACTCAGTGTAAACAAACAAGTTTTGGCAAATCCTTCGCCATCTCCAGTGAAACGATGATAAAACATGCAACCTCCTTTATAAAGGTAGTGAACAACTGTGAAGCATTTATTTTTAAAGGAAAAAAATGGGAATTGAGCCATAGCTACATGTAAAAGTTGCTAACTTTGTCATTCTGATGTTCATCATTACCTTATCATCTTTATTCATGCAATTCCTTCTTTTTTACAATTACGGTTCTGATGGATTCTTTAAAATGCAATGTGATGTTTGTTTGAAGTAGCCATGGCTCAATTCCCATTTATTTAAAATACAGTGGTTCATAGTTGTTCACTCTGTTTCATGTTTGTTTATACCGATCTAAATGGAAGTTAGATGATGTTGTTACAATAATTTCCGACTGTTGTTCAGTGTGATATGTAAGTAAATTAAAGCGTTAAAACTTATCGTATCGTTACAAATGCGTTACTTTTTTAAAAGCATAGTTTACAATTGTGTCAAAAGTTTTAAATGGCATGTGTTATGTGTTGAATAAATGACCGTTTGTTAATAATGATTTATAAAAAGTTAATCTTATATTATGTGTTGTATTTTTATACTCGTCAATTCCCTGTTAGATGAGATAAATAATAATTTTTAAAAAGTATATAAACAAAAAATTATATAACAGAATAAAAATTAAAGGACGGACTCCAGTGACAAGATAATCAAGTGTTAGCATGGAATTATAAATAACATAGAACTTGTATATACGCTCTTAACTACAACAAAGTGATTTTTCAACTAAAATGGCGTTTTATTTGATAATAATCAGTGATAATATTCAGATTATTGAAGGCTAAACTGACATTCGGAAATATAAATACATGGACCAGTGTAGCGTTAGCTTGCTTCACATGCAACCACTGGACATCTCCGAGAAGAATTGGTTCTACTAACTAAACCTCCGCAAGAAGAGTCAACCAGCGATGATGTTAAGGCTGGCGCGCGACGCCTCTTATACCAATAATTCATATCAACAATATAATCCAATAATTCATATCAACAATATAATACAACAATTATTTTTCTTAATACAATTTAGTAGGGTTCAATCGCACCCTCTGCATCCCACCCCCTACATCCACCCCAGGTTTTATCCTGCTTTAAATTTGAGATTGGTGTACTTTGTATTAGGCCTATATTTGCGGTATTGGAAACGTAATAAAATGCTTCGTTTAACATTCGAGTTTTAACTTCAGTTCGTATGTGTTGTTTAAGAATTATGAAAACATAGGGGGCGTACTTCACCACGCCTTGTAATTAGAACATGAGTGGACCATTTCTTTGTAGGTCTATTTTAAATTAATATTTAATATAACGTTTTGATAAATAAGTATTATCTTAATGGATGTATGATAATAATATTTGGCGTATCTTACTGGTTGTCTTACCAACAGCTGTGTTGATAAAATCTCATTGATTTATTATGACGTAAGCGATACGGAGTCAATACTCAGAGATAGCACTAGATTCCTTTCCTGTGAACACCAACGCCGGAAGATAAGAACTCGAAAGAAAACGTGATTCTCAGTTTCCAAATAAAAATCACTCGCACCTTAAGTAAACCATAGAGAAAATAGAGTAAACACTTGTGATTTGTATTAAACGACTGGTGTCATATACAGTACTGTAGAAGTAACATTATACTTGAGTGCGTTTATCGACTATCGTCTCCGATCAGATTATATGGTATGTATCAGGTTGATGACTATTGGCAGATTTAAAATGAATAGTTTCGGTATCGAGTAGGTCTACAGTTGTGTTTTATGATGGCTGAGTGGTTTGACGGGAAATCCGGCTGTTAAATTGAAGGCATGTTGAGGAAACCGGGCGGTTCAGCCGCCTACTACAAGTATATTGGTAAGGTATTTCCTATACAGCATTTAAATCTGTATGTATGTGATTTTGCTATAATTATCATTTGAAAAGTAAGCCTATACTACTAGCATATTTTGAGAGCTTTAAACTTCGATTTATAAACCATAGATCGTCATCTTGCAGTAGGTAAATTTATGCTGGTATCAATAGCGCTATATGGTGAATATGGCATAAAGGAAACGTTTGGTATTAAACTTGTACGACTTCTCATTATATTTCAGGTATTTTAAAAATGCAGCACATAATAATTGCTATAGGGCTATCACTTGTATGTACGGCAGTGACATCCGTGGGTGTACAAACATCAAACGAGGCTTCAACGAAAAATGCTATAGTTAAATTATCACCAGAACTGCGAACAAACTCGCCATCAGCAACTATAACGGATGCGGAAACCAACGCCGAAATCTTCGCCAAATCATTCTCTGCGGGCGCCACACTTCAAGGTATTAGCACTAAGCCCACGAAAGGCACGACTGTTAGTAGTGCGGTTACGTCAGAGCACATTTCGTTTACGTCATCAGAACGTGCTGAGAGTAGGACGCCTTCAACGAGAATGTCTACTACAGGTGCATTTAATGTTTCTGTCGAGTCGGTTGGAAGCTTTGATGCTGAGAAAGTCACATGGCATCTGCCACCAGTCACAACTAGAATTAAACATTATATCGTTCTAAACTATAAACAGAATTGTAACTCCGGTGAATTATTAGATTCTAAAATTGACTCGAAAAAGATAATTTCAAACGTTACAATCAATTCATTGATAATAGATAATCTATCGTACCTAACAACTTACTGCGTATGCGTAATAAGCATTGCAGGCTTGGATGAAGATGTATCCGGAATTAACAATTGCAAGGAGTTCACAACCGATTACAACCATATGAACACGAAAGCTGTAATAGCACTAGGAATTGCCTCGTCTTTCATAATGATATTTTGTATTGTTGTTATTTACAATGTTTTAAGGAGTGCGAAAAAGTTGTCGAGGCAGTCCCACGACGAAGAACTGATTGCGAGCGTTTATAATGACGTATCAAGTGAAGACGAACAATTACCGCCACCAACCGCCACTTAATACTGTCATCGTTGTTCATTATTATTAATATCAAAGATCTTATAATAAGATCTTTGAATATTATTTATATTTTAATTTGCTTCAATACTTTTGATGAGTATAAAATTATCACATAGATATGGAATGGTTTAATATCCTTAATGTCAGGATTGGAAGGCGCGCCTTCTATCATGAATATGCTTTAAATTACATTTATAACAGATTCTTTAAACTTTCGGTACACCATGTGTAAAAATATGGTTGGTTGTCTCTATGTAAAGTCATAGGTAATTTAGGCCTACATACCCGAGCGGTGAACGGCATGCTCGCCTATGGTTCTGGTAGTGGAACTCTTCTATTATAGGCCTAGGACTATAAACCGTAGGCCCAGTGTACACAATTTGGCTAATGTGAACTTTAAAGAACCCAGTGCAATTTTCGAGACGAATAGGGAGTTACACCGGTGTACTGGTTCATACAGCCCCTGTTATGGACAGACGAGAGATAGCTGGTGTCGGTTTACCGGATAGCTCAGACATGAAGAGACCCATAGAAGAGAAGAAAGTTACTGTACGAGCTAAACCACACCACACATCGAACGCCTGATCAGGCACTTTGATACTCCGGTATAAAATCGAATTACATTACATAATTATTGTACCCATCCATAACAATAATACAGTTAATTTATTGAATTTGAAAAAATTATTTCATTGTTATGAGTTCGATCGGCAGACGATATGACCGATCTGCACAACAAATAATGTTCGAACTACACTGATAATTCCTTTCCGAAAAAACGGTAAGATCTAGAACGTAATAAGGTCACGTTGAAGCATTCGCTCATTCAGCGTCAAGTTACGTTGTCGTGGAGAGAACGCAGAATGGTCAGAGTGAATCGTTACGGTAACCTCGTCGCTCAAATTAAAAGTTATTCATGTGGACAAGGGCAATGCTCATTTTATTGTGTTTAAATATTATGTTATTAATTATATTGATTATTGGATCTGAGCGGGTATTAAATACTAAATATAGCTACCAAGGACAAAGTCAATCTATGTTATACTAATAGTTTCTTTGATCTATTTGATATTTTTTTTTATAATTCCTTTCTTCTTATTACCTTACCTTTCTTTTCCTTTATCCATGTCTTTCCTTTTCTTCCCTTTGCTTTCTTTCATTCCTATTTTCTGTTTTACCTTTATTTCCCTATAAATTTTGTCTTTACATTTTCTTTCTTTTTTTTTCCTTCTTTTATCTTTGTTTCTTTTTATTTTTTTCCTTTCCTTTACATTCATTTTTCCATTCTAATGCACTTTCCCTCTTGTTCATTTTTTCGTTTTCTTGCCTCACAATTTTCTTTTTTCCCTTTTACATTTATTATTCTTTCTTTACTTTTTCCGTTTCTGTTTCTTTTCCTTTTTCTAATGTTTATGTTGATAGCAAAGTCAACCTAAATGGTATTATCAAATAGCCCTAACGCAATATATTCTATTTGATTTTTTACATGAGAAATAAAATGTTGTAATCAGCATATCGTCCGAGTTTTTTTTTTTTTTTTTTTTTTTTTTTTTTTTATACAAGACTACATTTCGT